AAAGCTGCATGATTTGACTATTCCAATTATTGCTTTTTGTTACGGTTCACAAACTGATTTCACACATGCAGTATTTCACAGCTCTGTGTGAATGTTTGAGAACTCACATATTATTAGTAGTTCCTGGATCTGGAACTACTTACAAGCTACAGACCGATCTCGAACCTCACTTTCATATCCAAAATCCTGGAAAAACTTATAGCTGAGCAGCTTCGCTGCCACCTGCAGGAAAATAATATGTTTGAAGTCTTTCAATCAGGATTCAGAGCTCATCATAGCACTGAAACGGCTCTAGTCAAAGTCACAAATGACTTACTACTAGCTGCTGATAATGGACAAGTGTCAGTGCTGGTCCTACTGGACCATAGTGCTGCATTTGACACAATAGACCACAGCATTCTACTGCAGAAGCTAGAATGTGATATAGGTCTCAGAGGAACAGCCCCCGGATAAGAGTCAAAACAAGAAAAGAAAAAAGCACCATTCCCAAATAGCAGGCTCACGATTGGACACCTTTCTGAAGCACATTAAAAATAACCTATTTTCTAATATTTAAAAGCCAATTGTAGACTGCAGCAGAAAAGGGCCTTCTTATAGTGGCTGTGCTGAACGCCCGGTTTACAGGAACCATTCCACTTATAGACACACAGTATTGTGGTTTTAAACCAGTCTCCAGCTTTGGACAAGGGACCTCAGTCTTAACGGTTCGTCAGTTCCCAGGGAACCTATTTCCCAAAGGTTGGATTTTAGAGTCACTTTTAATCCTGATCCACGTAAATTCTTTTTACAAGTATTATAAAATACGATACAATACAATATTCTTGTATAGCCCTAAATCACAACAGAAGCCATCTCAGAGGACTTAACGTCTTATATAATTTGATTAAATTGTGTGAACTCTTGATGGACTAAAACTGTTAAATGCAAAACAAGCAACATTTGCAGCAAATTCCCAGTGTCCAGCCAGAGACTCAAGAAAACTGTTGCGAAGTCTAAACACCTCGTGGAACATTGGTTTCAAATACTTTCACTAAAGTCGGAGTCCGTAAACAGCCAGCGCACAAGTCAGAGTAAATAAATGTACTGTGTTTTTATATAGAGTTAAAGGTTAAAGATGAATCGTTAACTAAAATTCTGGAGCAGGGCCATGTCCTCCTCTCCAGCCAATCAAATCTCACCTCACTCTCCACCCATCCCTCCCACCCATGTCTTTCATCAGAATCAGAATCAGAATCATTTTTTTTATTGCCACGTAAGTAACAGGAAGTCACAGACTTGGAAATTGCTTTGGCTCAGTGCAACAGTCAGAGAGAGATAATAAAAATAAAGAATAAAAAACACTTCTAAGGAATACATTTAAATTTAAAATAGAGTTACAGTTACTATTTACAATATACAAGTGCACATGGTGCACACAATGTAAGGTGACAGCAGTACAGTAAAGTAAAGTGACGTATGATGGGCAGTAAAGTGACTTTATAAAGGGCGGGGGGACAGGTTAAGAAGTGTTCAAGAGTCCAACAGCAGAGGGGAAGAAACTGTTCTTGTGGCGGGAGGTTCTAGTCCTGATGGACCGCAGCCTCCTGCCTGAGGGGAGTGGTTGGAATAGTCCATGTGCAGGTGAGAGGGGAGTGGTTGGAATAGTCCATGTGCAGGTGAGAGGGGAGTGGTTGGAATAGTCCATGTGCAGGTGAGAGGGGAGTGGTTGGAATAGTCCATGTGCAGGTGAGAGGGGAGTGGTTAGAATAGTCCATGTGCAGGTGAGAGGGGAGTGGTTGGAATAGTCCATGTGCAGGTGAGAGGGGTCGGCTGTGATACGACCAGCCCGGCCTCGAGCTCGGGCGACGTACAGGTCCTGCAGCGATGGAAGGCTGCGGCCGATCACTTCCTCTGCAGAGCGCACAATGCGCTGTAGTCTATGTTTGTCCCTGACTGTGGCTCCAGCGAACCACACGGTGATGGAGGAGGTGATGGAGGAGGTGATGGAGGAGGTGATGGAGGAGGTGATGAGGAGGTGATGGAGCAGGTGATGGAGGAGGTGATGGAGGAGGTGATGGAGGAGGTGATGGAGGAGGTGATGGAGGAGGTGATGGAGGAGGTGATGGAGAAGGTGAGGATGGACTCGATGATGGCCGTGTAGAACTGCAGCTTGGCTTTCCTGAGCTGCCGCAGGAAGTACATCCTCTGCTGGGCCTTCTTGATGAGGGAGCTGATGGTCGGCTCCCACTTGAGGTCCTGGGTGATGGTGGTGCCCAGGAAACGGAAGGACTCCACAGAGGTGATGGGGGAGTCCATCACGGAGGGTGGGGGCGAGGGGACAGTGCTCTTCTTGAAGTCCACAATCATCTCCACTGTCTTCTGGGCGTTCAGCTCCAGGTTGTTACCACTGCACCAGGACACCAGCCGGTCCACCTCCCTCCTGTAGGAGACACCAGGACACCAGCCGGTCCACCTCCTCCTGTAGGAGACACCAGGACACCAGCCGGTCCACCTCCCTCCTGTAGGAGACACCAGGACACCAGCCGTTCCACCTCCCTCCTGTAGGAGACACCAGGACACCAGCCGGTCCACCTCCCTCCTGTAGGCGGACTCATCGTTGTTGGAGATGAGTCCAATGAGGGTGGTGTCGTCCGCGAACTTGATCAGCTTCACGGAGTCGTGGCTGGAGGTGCAGTGGTTGGTGTACAGGGAGAAGAGCAGGGGAGAAAGAACACAGCCCTGTGGGGCTCCTGTATTTATAATCCGAGAGTCCGAGACATTCTTCCCCAGACGCACTCGCTGCTTCATGCACCTTGCGCCAAAACATCATCCCTGCCCCCCCACCCCCGGTCCAGGAGGAGCTGGGCAGAGACCGAGACCGAGTCTGAGTCTCTGCGAGCCTCCATCAGATTTCATCCTACAGCCATCAACTCACATTGTGTCAATAAGTGAACCTGTGGGACTTATGCTCAGGGCCCCGGCCCTAACCCTTTGTTTGCTGATGTTTAGGTTTTTACAATAAAGGTAAAATATGAAAAAATATGAATGTTTTTTTTTTTTTTAAGTGTAAAATGTACGGCCGAATAAGATTTATGGGAGAATTACCTGAACATGGGTTAAATCTGGGATAGTATTTATTTATATATATTTTTTTTTTTACATTTTACCTTTTCTATTGTGGTCTGTACCATATAGTTTCAATATTTCACTTTTTTGTGAGTGGAGTAGTCCTTCCTGAAGTGGAGGAGTTCAAGTATCTCGGGGTCTTGTTCACGAGTGAGGGAAGGATGGAGCGTGAGATTGACAGGCGGATCGGTGCAGCGTGCGCAGTGATGCGGTCGCTGTATCGGACCGTTGTGGTGAAGAGGGAGCAGCGTCTGCAGTCAGAGCTGTATCGGACCGTGGTGGTAAAGAGGGAGCAGCGTCTGCAGTCAGAGCTGTATCGGACCGTTGTGGTAAAGAGGGAGCAGCGTCTGCAGTCAGAGCTGTATCGGACCGTTGTGGTAAAGAGGGAGCTGAGCCGAAAGGCAAAGCTCTCGATTTACCGGTCAATCTTCGTTCCCTCCCTCACCTATGGTCATGAGCTTTGGGTAATGACCGAAAGAAGAAGATCGCGGATACAAGCGGTCGAAATGAGCTTCCTCCGCAGAGTGGCTGCTCCCTTAGAGATAGGGTGAGGAGCTCAGTCACACAGGAGGAGCTCAGGGTAGAGCCGCTGCTTCTCCACGTTGAGAGGAATCAGTTGAGGTGTCTCACTTGTTCCGGATGCCTCCTGGACGCCTCCCTGGGGAGGTGTTCCGGGCACATCCCACCGGGAGCAATCCGATTGCATTTATGGACCATTTCAATTCAATCCCATTCCTTTTTCTACAGCCCTAAATCACAGTAGTTATCTCGGAGGACTTTACCAAACTATCAAATTCGCCGACAGAGATCAGAGAATCAAACAGTTCAAACACATGCAATACATTGATTAAAAAAACACATAGAGCCATTGGTCCAGAAGGAGCAGATGACCATCCTGCAGCTGAAAGGAACAACTCTAAAAACCAGTGACTATTTGTTTTATTGTTTGTTTTTCTAATTGTTTGGCTGTTGGCAAATCAACAATTGAGTGACGCTGTTTTGAGTAGACTGCTGTTGTGACTACACTACAAAAACACATTGATCGGATTTGACTAAACCCTCTCACTCTCATGAGTTAGTGGTACTTCCTGACTCCTCCTCCGGACCATGAGTGCCCATTCAATGAAGAACAGGCGAGCAGCTACAATTACGGCATTGTGGCGAGGAGAGAGTCAGCCGTTTGTTCTCATTTGTCTCTACACTGATCGTATCGTGCGGCCTCACCTGCCCACCCCTCCTCTCCCCTTATACTGCCATCACGAGCTCTTTCAGGATAACACACTAAACCTCCCGTCATTGGGCAAGTGGACCGACCATACGAGGGGGAGATTGCTCCGTGATAGATGAGGCAGGTAATGGACACAGATTTTTGTTTTTTTGGGGAGCTCCATTTGGTGAGATTTACATTCAGCAATCCAGTTAGCAGGTCATAAATAAAGCAGCGGCGTGTTGACAGGTTGGGCCAGACTGCGGCTCAGATGTGTATCGCTGTTGCTGACGGCTTCTACAATAACTTCTGTCAGGACAATACGGAAGTGGATCCCTGCTGCCTGACCTCCCAAAGGCCTGATTAGCTCTTGAGACAGTGCAGTCAATGTATCTCTGCCTGCTTCTTTTATCATGTGAGAACACCTCCACAGTGAAAGAGAGACTAGCTCCATCTGACAATCCAATCTACTAGGCCAGCAGTAACACAATATCCCTTTTCTAATCGACCACTGTCCCCGCTCGTTGTTGTTGTGGCAAGGTGCTCTCAGAAAGGGGTGAAGGTTAGCGCGGCAGCTTTCATTAGAATTGCAAATCAGAGTGAGTGGATGCCCGATCAGATAAGGAGAGATGCAGAGAACAAAGGGTCAGGGCCGGAGAGAGGAGAGTGTGTGAGGTTCTGACTGGGT